GAATAAAATACTTTTAAAATTTCTCATTTGGTTTGAGGGGTCATTCAGGCAGGGATTGCTCCTATGCTTTGTGGAGCATCTAGCACAACAAGGACTGGGCTCCTTGGGAATTATGGTGATAATTTATTTACTTAAGTTACATTTATTGCACACACAGAATGTTCTTACTGTTAGTTCCAAACTGAATTGGATAGCTAAGCCCTTGCCATTAGAGTAACTTTGCTCCCTCGCCCTCCAAATGAAAGCTGATATTGCAATTGTGATTTTTTTTTTCACCATGACTACTAACGCCAATACAAGGCAAAATTCATCAGGAATGGTATGTGTGCCTAGAAGTGCAACTCTAAAGTCTTAACTCCTTATTTTAGTTTGATAGACTGAAATGTATGCTGCTGGAACAGAAGTCAGTTTCTTATCTTTACTCTTAACTACATTGCATGCCAAATACCAAAGCCCTTGCTTACATTGTTTCTAACACATTACTAAACACATTACTAATTGAGGGTCATAGCCTTAACAAAAGAGAGAGCCAGCTCCTCATTCCAAAATAGTCATATTTAGAAAAAATGCTTCAAGAATATTTTTTTCAAAGGTGAAGGCTTATAAGGCCATGAGTGTATCTATGTGGAGAAAAGTTCACAGGAGTTAGCCTCACTGAATACAATGTCTTGTTACTGTTCTTGAGAAAGATACTGAAATAGGATACATTCAGGATACCTGCGTGCTAGACTTCAGTCAAAGCCAGTGAAAAGACTCTCGGGGTGGAATTCATTTCAGTTTTATATATTTAGAAGTTAAATGTTTAAATCTGGGTTTGTAACCTTAGATAAAGTGGATTTGAGACTTCGAGTGAATGTTTCATCTGCTCTATTTAAAATAGAGGTCTTGAGGTGAGATGAATTGCCCTATACCAGGTACCTGTTTTTTTTTTTTTTTTTCAAATTGACTAAAAAGGTGGTTTGAGTGATTATCTTTGACTTAGGGAGCTGCAAGTCAGATTTCTACACTGGGGAAGATGAATACTATCCCTGCTCATTTGGGTGGGGCTTGGTTCACATTTTATTTTTATTTTATTGAATTGGTAATGATCTAATCAAGTTGTACCCAGCAATCTCTGAATCTTTCCAAAGTGCAACAGCTCCTTTCCTAGTGTACAAGTTATTTTGGTCATCACAACCATAAAGGCATCTGAATAGATAAAAAAAAAAAAATTTCTGAGTTTGGAGCCACAAGCCAGCCAATCTCTTCATCAGCTCAAGAGTTCTATTGTATGAATCCCTTTTCTTTCTTTGTTTCAGGTTCCAGTGCAGTGGTCTGATATGATCACTCTAAAAGCCAGGATGACCAATTATGGGCTACCTAGATACCAGTGGCTTACCCATGCTTGGAATTTCTTTCAGAGGGAGGTAAGAAGACAGTTAATTCATGAAGTAGTGCCTGTCCAGTAAGCGCTATTTATCTGTTAAGGAAAAGGTTTATTTTTTAATGAAAGAGGAATGCAAGTTTAATAAAAGCCTATGTAGCGATGATATCTTTTAGATCGAACTCTTGAAGTTGATATCCAACCCTTCAGTGTTTGTGAGCTCCAAAAACTCCCTGTATCTTTACGACTCTGAAGGGTCTCCTCTTTTCTTAGAACTTACATTTATTATTCCCGGGACCTGCTGTAGCTTTATATAATGTAGATATGTGTGTGTGCATCGCTCTATTTTTTTTCTTTTTTTTAAATCAGTGTCTTCTAAAGACTTGCACTTCAAAAAATAAATACTGAACACTCAGTTATTGGAAGTGGTGTTTAGTCATGACAATCTAAATAGCTGATTTACATGCAGTCTAGTAGGCCTATAATTCTTAGTATTATTGGGATATCTAGCAGTCCAACTCAAGAGACAGAATGTCTGTATCCAGTTACTTGCAATAATTATAGTGCAGTGCATGAAGCCTAATTAAAAAACATATTTATATTCTTTTTTTTACATATGCCACTAATAATCCACAAATAAGTAAAATTCAGTTAAATTATTAACATTTTATTCTCCTTTGCTAGTGATGGTAGGACACCAACACCTTTTGTGATTATTATTACATTAAGAATATGATATATATATATATATAGAATTAAAACTCTGCAGGTAAAGAAAAATGAATGTTTCTGTGTACTATTTTAATATTAAACTGTGCTCCCCTTCCTGTATGCTTTGTTAGTTTCCTTTAGTGGAGCTGTCATATCCAAGATATGGTGTTATGTGGAAGTGAATGGGAAAGGATGTTTCCAAGAAGATGCCAACCCTATGTCTTTGTCTTTGGCTATGGTGTTAGAAAGTGATCAGGGAATTTTATTTCCTTTGACCGGGGAAAGCAACAAACCAAAAATCTGGCTTGTGTATTCACAGCTTTGTCCTGTAGCCTACTGAAATTCAGAACTGTTTTTAAAGAATGAAGTATCATGTTACAAAAACATGAAATTGCCCAAGGTAAAAACCCATTAACTCCAAATATAACTCACGTGCAGGAAAGGAACTCTTTAAATGCCTGTCATTGTTCTGCTCTTGTTGAAATGTTAAAATCTATCATTGTTGCACAGATTTCCTCTTTATTTAAACATTTCCTGGCGATACTTGGTTAGTCTGTATTTATATTCAAACCTGAAAGAAAGAGTGATTTTCATAAACTGAAACTTCTTTTTCTCCCCTGGCTATTCAAGTGCCATGTGAAACCCAATAATCCTTCATATTTAGAAGGTAGAGTGTCTGTGTCTGTTCTGTACCTGTGGTAATATACGTGGTCTTGATTTCCTTGACTAGATCTGGTATAGGATCTTGGTTTAAATGTATAGGTTGATTAAATAAAAAGCTGCCTTATATGCTCCTAGTTATTGTAGTGTCATAATAATGGCTGGATAAACAAGATTGGGAGAGAGTTCCCAAGACAGATCTGGCTTTAAAGTGAATGTTAATAACAAAACTTCAACTTTGCCAAAGGAGCCACTCCCTATCCCTTCTAGGAGAAGAGGGTGGTGGGGGAGGTTCCTTTATAAGTTAAATTTCTGATGTTCCGTCTGTGACCAGAGGAATGATTTTAGGAAAATGTGAAGTTATTTGGGCCGGCTGTTTTACCATTCCTTGTTAATTGGTGGGGTGCCATTTTTATTTTGTCTACTTATAACTCTAATACTGGATCTGTGAGCCTGGTATGTATTTTTAACATCTGAGAGAGCTGGAAATGTCTCTCATTTCCCCCCCCATGCCCACTCCTTCCTGCTGGTCTAGTATCAGAAATGTAAATATGCTAAGGAAGACAGGAAGTGTTAATTGAAATCATGAAGGAAAAACTGGGGAAAAACAACAATTTTAAAAAAAGTATGAGAGAAAGAAGAGGGTGTTCGATGAGGTTGTCTTTACAGTTATGAAGAGGAGCCAAAGCTTGAGTTTTCCTTAGAAACTGCCCTATGGGAACTCAAGGAGAATTTTGATTTTGTAAAGAACAGATAAAAAGAGAGACACATTTGACCTGTGGCAAAAATCAGAAAAGGGAAGAAGAGAGATTTGTAAGAGGACTGGCAAATTAAGACATGGTATGTGCAGACGTGGTGTCTGACCACTGATGTGTTGGACTGTGACTGAGGAGTGGAGTAATAAACTGTCGCTGTGAAGTGGGCAGGTCAAAGGAACCAGGAGATGAGTTATGAACCTTGAGACTGATGCTAGTGGACGTTTGGACAGCAAGCACTATTCTGTTCCTGCAGCAAGGCCTTTTTTTCGGTCATATCACCTCCCCACCTAATGTAGTAAAAAATGTTGGCATAGCTGCTTCAGCTGTCTTTGATGTGAATGCAGCTAGGAATGTGGTAGGGTGGTCTTTTGGCTTTAAATCTCTTGGTATGTTTTCAGGAAAGAAGACAGGTTGTTACTCTTGGTGGATTTTATAGCCAATTATGGCTCATCTGCTTTGCAGCCAGTGTTCCTATTTTTATGATTGATTCTGTGGCAGCATTTATTTTACTGTGGTACTCTCCTTCTCCCACTTTCCTTTTTCTTTTCCGTATTTATAATTTCTGTACCTTTTTCCTCACTTTTTTGTCTTTTTTTATCCTCCCCTTTTTCCTGTATTCTGATCAATCTCTGCTGTATTCTTATTCTCATTTATTTTTCTTTATCATATTTGTCCATTGTCTGTTGCAGCCTTGCAGGAATGCTCCTTGCTAATAAGACCTGTATCTTTCCTTACTAGTTTCTGTAGCCAAATGTGTCATTTTTCATTACTATCTTCTCACGTTATATTATCGTGTGTTAGTCCCTTGTAATAATGAGAGCAGATTTGCAGGATAGGACAATTTCTGTGGAGTGTCATTTGAGGGAGCAGTAGAGATCCAAAGGACAGGGCAAGGTCATTGACTTTTTCTGATGTGTGTGTTGGTCACTGTGTTCCTTATCACTTTTCTTCAATTGCTTCTGATGTCCAGGCACAGCAGAAGAATGTGTGGAAGCTCTTATGGGTGTTTTTGGCCCTACTAGAATATTTTGAAAGGTTTTAATGGAAATTTATTCCAGGAGTTTTTGACCTGCTTTTATTAAGAAGTGGCATTATGGCTCATCTTGGCTAATCCTTCCTTTGCAGTTTAAATGTTGTGGCGTGGTATACTTCACAGACTGGCTGGAAATGACAGAGATGGATTGGCCTCCTGACTCCTGTTGTGTCAGGGAGTTCCCAGGATGCTCGAAGCAGGCGCATCATGAGGATCTCAGTGACCTTTATCAGGAGGTAAGAAGAAAAATGTGGCACTTTTGGAATCCATTTTCCTTTTTAGTATCTAGTAGATCTTACAGCATGGAATTCCACAGTTTTACTGCATAGTGTGTGAAAAACCTGTAAGGTTGATGTATCCAGCGTGGTGGAATTGGGGAAAATAGCATTGCTCCATCTAAAAAAAAAAACAATTTTGTGTAGTTCAAATTATGTTTTTTTTCATAAGTATGCTAGATGAATGTAATTTGTTATGATAGGAATAACAGGAATATCAACTGTTACTCAAGGAATAACAATATTTACAGTATTTGAAATTTCTTCAGATTCTTAGGATCTTTTTTAGGATTTTCTTTCTTAGCAAAACTAGTTTTCTTGAATTTGAGAAATAATTCATTAATTTTAAGCTTTTATTATGGGAACAATTTTTTAACTGTTTAAAGAATTATAAGAGTTAGAGTAGTTTTAACTTAAGGTTATAGTTTATTTGTTGGCATCAAAGTAGTTTGCAAAACTATTGTAGGTCCTAAGATTTCTTTTGTTATCTTTTCTATTTACTGGTACTGGTGACCTGAAAATTCCTAAAGCTACTTTCTGTATTTCTCCAAATGCTGTGATATTCTTGATGGAAAAATGTGTGGCATATTTTAAAGTAGTTTTTTAATTTCTGGCGTAGTTTGAGTGGCTTTTAAGAGCTACTCTTCTGCTGTGTTTATCTCTGAGAAAAGACTGAAACTGTAAGTATATAAATAAACAAACAAACCAAACAAACAAAGTCTACAACATTTTGTGAGTCCTTTGGTATTAGAAGTTCTGATGAAGCTTATGTGCAAAAATTTTAACAGTGGATTAAGTCTGTATTTTGTCACAGCGCTGAACCTGCATACAGATAACAACAGCTGAGTCTGTCAAGCTGAAAATATATCCTCAAAATATGAGAAAAAACACAGGTATATTAATTTCTTTAAATAATCAGAAGCGATAAGAACTTTGGATGGATTCTGGAAAGTGCAGTTTTACAGAATGCTGTATAAGAGGCATTAACCGTGTAAACCTGAATCACATCCCACACACAGACCCATCCCACCCAAGCATAACTGCTACCAAAAAGGCAGTATTTTTCAGCTGGTGAAGAAGAGAACATGTAGCCTGAAATTCAGGTGGTTTTCCCATCATGAGTGATAGACCTAAATAGAGCTCCTGTTATGGGACTGAATTTTTAGCAGGAGGAAAAAGTCAATCACCCTTAGAAATTAAGAGTGAGGTGGGAAAAACAGACTGTTTCTGAATCTGGGAAAGTAAGACAAAAATAACTGCTAGATAAGCCTTAGTGGAATGAATGGAAGCCATGAGATTTATGCATTATAGTAGAGTGACCCTAAGACCGAGAGATGTCAGTTGCATTTGTTTTTTCTGTTGGACTGGCACCTTCAGAGCTGCTGAGGAGACAGTTCCAACCATGTGGTCTGTGTGTCATTTTACAGAAGGCTAAGCTGAAGAATTCATTGCCCTTGCTATTAAAAATTCCTGAAGATGCCCATGTCCTTTTTTACTTGTCCTTGGTTTAAAATCTATGCCAAAAAAACACCTGGATATAATAAGTGCTCTCGTCAAAACTGAATTCTGTTCATTTTACTGCATAAAGAGCTTCACGTGCTATGCTATCTCATTTTTCCTAAAACACTTCTGTTATGAAACTTCTCTAAGCCTCCTAAGTGTATGCCTGTAGCCTGCCTGCAAGTATATTTTATTTTAGTAGCTGGCTGTGTAGTTCAGTATGAGGCTATAAGACTTGGTAATTGCATCAGTCCGTTTTGGAGAGTAAAGATGACAGTGTGGCGAAAGAAGAAGAGCTCTTTCTGTCACAGTTCATTCAATTCCTGAGACCATCAGGGCGTTCCAAAGTACATGTCAAACGTCAAAGCTGGGAGAAGTGATTTAACTGAAGGCAGATGGCTTAGTAAGAGAGAGAGGCCTGTGGAGAAAGAGAATCACAGACACTGAAACTAGCAGAAGAGAAAGTCTATATATCTCAGCCAAGCAGTTAAGAGGATTTGAGTAGAAGAGGTGTGCCCTTAATTTGGTTGCTTTAATGGTAAAATAGACTGCATGGGAAGGTGGAGGGGCCCGAGATATGTGCTTTTTGGTACTGGCAGCATAAAAATTTCTCTAGGCAGCAGTGTAGCTCTGCTTTATAGAAAAGCATCCAAAGAACCATTTTATTTTTTCACAGCCTCTTATTGCTTTTAAGGCTTTTTCTCACAATACTCTTATGTGAATGAAGTGGTTATGTGACTCTTGTTCAGGAGCCCTGGAGAGATCCCTCTGAATTAGGGGAGATTCACTATATAAACAAGCCAAGATCAATGTGAGGCATTGCCAGGAAACAGTCAAGTTTTGGGAAAGTGGCATCATTGACATGGAGCGAACCACTGGATTTGTAAGGCACTGAGACTTTCTGAGTAGAAATGATTTAATCTGTTCTGGACTTGCAGGCATCCATCCAAGGTCTGGTATTCCATCAGCAGGACCAGAGAAGGCAGAGCTGCCAAAAGGCAGGAGGTGCCTCAGAAGGCCGGTCTATGCTAGATAATCCTAAAGACAGTTGCACAGGTTGTTTTATTTCAGTCAGCTAGCTGGAGAGCCTCTCTCACCTGATGGCGAGGCATGCAGCACTGGTTACACCTCAGAGAAGTGTCCATCTGTGAATGGTACAGCCAGACCACTCACTTCTGGGGTCTGCCAAACACTGACACGTACTTGAAGACAGTGCTGTGACTTACCCTGCAATAACATCGGTTGTAATGCCAGTAGTGATCCCATGAACCACCCTCCAACTCTGTCTTAGAGAGCATGCAGAAGTATAAATGTATGGAAGCAAGGAAGGGTCATCATCTGCCCTAAGCATCTCTCCTGCTTATGTGAGGAGGCAAGAGTAGGTAAGCCAGTGTCACTCAATACAAACCTAACTTTGAGCTCAGGAAATACATACTTAGGAGAGGGAACGATACTCACTGGAGTGACTTGACAAAACTGCAGGTAGGTATGTCTTCTTTCTGCTAACCCTTTATTCCATAACCATATCCCAGCAAAGCAGTTCTCTGCCCACTTCATGTGTGCGGGTCCATTGGGTTCTACTTGGAGAAAATTAACAGAGAAAGATGATAATGTTTTAGTAAAGCCGAAGACTGTACCAAGAACCATTTGATAGAAAAGAAAAGCTGCCTGGCTTTTTTTTTTCCTCAAAGATACCTGAAAGGAAAATCTGTGGTTCTTCCTCCACCCTGTCTCAGAGCATTTTGGATGGATTCAGCTCCTAGCAAAAAATTATTTTTGGTTCTTTAGTGCAGACTCAGTTCCAAACAGGAACTGTTTCACGGCCACAAAAATACCATGTTGGTTTTTGTGAGGTATGAACAATATTCAGTTGGCAAAAAAATTTTTTTCCATGGTGCTTGCATGCAAGTTTGTTTTGCAGGCTTGTACAGTATGCTTGCTATTACGTTTATCAGTACCATGCTAAACGAACTTGCAAGGCTAGTCTGTCTGACTTTGGCTTTGGAGAATGGAAAGAGAAAAGCCTCTTTAGAAAGTGATTCAAAACAAGCATGTGTAGTCTGTCACTCTCTGGTTCTAGAGGGAGCCTGAAGAGATTAGCCTTGCTAGGCTAAAGTAATGTAAATTCCTCACGAGTACTTTCTAGTACTTCAGAAAAGCTCTTCCCAGTACTTCAGAAAGCTGAAGTTTGGTTTTTTAGCTGAGATTGACAGAGTTGTTGATTTGTTGCAGCTTTGCTGTAATTTTCTGTTGGGTTCTCTGAGTTTTTGATGGTCTAAGTCATAATCCTCTACAGATTATGAGGTACATTTTGGTCTGAGGACAAAGGGAGTTCTGCCAGTCTCCTAATAAGGAACTGTAGTCTAAAATAGTTGGTAGGAGTTGATATCTTCAGAAAAATCAAAATTACCTGTTGAATATCTTTTTCTTTTTTTTCTAGTATAATTTTGACTATACATAAGGAGCCGATCTGTTGACTATGTTAATGGCTCTGTGTGTTCTCTTCTACTCTGAAAAGTGGCTTATTTAAGATCTGTTCCTAGGAGAGTATATTTATGCACTCTTTAATTGCAGTATTTGTACCAACTACAAATATGTTGCATAAGCAGAAATAAAATGCATGAAAGTGAGAATAACAGGGATGGCTGGATATTTCTCATTTTTGAAGCTGATTCTGAATGTATATTAGAGCAGAACTGTAAGAACATCATTAAGAGGAGGGAGGCAGTCTATATAGATAAGGCACGATTTGTCTTAGTTATGTGTCTGTAGTACAGGAGATGTAGGCATTAATGTTATAGCTCTGTTAATGGATGTTTCCTCTAGGCAACAAATGAACTGAATTTGAATACTGCGGTGACTGAGCATTTTTAAATTGTGACCAGCATGTACCTTAATCCCTTAAAGTTATCAAAAGTATTAAAATGCATGCAGTTTCTCTATAATTAAAAGGAAATTTGGAAAGCAATATACTTGCTACAACATCTTTTAGTTCAAGGAAAAAAAAAAAGACGCCAGCATGACAATTTTTATTTCTTGTCAAGTGCAGTTAAATATTTTTTGCTAAAATGTGTTGATTTTCTTTTCAGATTTCAAAAGAATCCAAATTTTGATCTTGTTGTTTGTATAAACTATGTTAATATCTAAAGAATGACACACTGTTATGATGAACAGTGCAAAGATATTGAGGTCCTTTAACTTATTCTGCTATGATCATTATATAGTACATTAATTTTAGATCCAAAATGAGAATCTATTGACTTCAGTGAGAATTTTCTGTGCAAGGCAAGAATCAGGCCTTTCATCATTCATGCATTCAGGACCGTAGCATTTATAACAGTGTTGACTATCGGGAATTTTAATGCGATTGAAATGTGTGCTTTATCCTGTCCTGTCTTCAGATTCTATCCCTTTGATCAGCTACTTACTTGTCATAAAAAGCCTATAAGAAATAAGTAGTAAGGATGTAAACACAGAAATGACATTTGGAAAATAATGCCCTTCTTGATGGGTTCCTGATGTCTTCTGCTGAGACTGATGCTTATTTGTATTCCTTAACATTTTCGTGTCCAGATTATTACTCTAAATTTTCCATTGGTGGCTGCGCGTACCTTTAACTTCTGTACTATGAAGTCCTGTAAAGTTTAGAATAGGGAATAAGCATGGGTCAAAGGAGCTGAGGGTCCACTCTTAAGACAAAATTAACACAAATGAGCAGCAAGCGGTATAGTTTATATTAGCACTGTTGTCCCATAGTTCCCAGAGCCGGCATCTCTTTGTGGATCCTTGCTGCCTTATTAGGGCTTGGGAGCTTTCCTGGAGTGCCTTGTGGAGTAGCTAGTTGGGCATATGGGCAAACTGTGGAGCACATGCTGATACTTTGGAAAGTGCTGAGCAATCAAAGAGCAACTACTCTTTCTGAATTTCCATTTTTGGAAATCATCAGGTTGTGATGTTTTAGCATACTTTATATTCACCAGACATTTTCCTGTGAGAGTGATTGCTTTTGTATTTGCACCTGCACAATGGTAGGGAGAGATGGTGTATACGAACATCTTCCTTATACAGTATATGGACTGTAAGGAGAGTCTTTGGAGCAGAGCTTGGGTTTGTGTAGGACTTGATGCAGGGCGGGTAGTTACAGCTACTCTCACAATGGTTAATGAAAGAAAATAAGGAAGGCATTAGTACAGTGATGTGACTTTCAAGCTCAAATATCTGAACAATTTCCATTGGCATAAGAACAGTAAAAAGAAAAGACTTGGGGGACAGAGAGTTGAGTGAAACTCTGGTAGGTGGTGGAAGGGGGCAGAATTTTTCAGTGGGAGATTTTCAAACTGCAGTACGTAGAGTATTGGTACTTGTGCCACATCAGAGCTGTAACCTGACTCCTCGTGGAGAACTTCCACTGCCAGTGTTGTTCCCTGCTGCCACTGCAGTGATGCTGTGCAGGAAGGAAAAAAGTGGAATCCATTAAGCTAAATTAATTCATTTTTGAACAGAGACATTTCCCTGTAATTTTCCACAATATTTGCTTCATTGTTGCCTCCCAGTCACAATGACTTTAGTACGATTTTTTTCTGAGCAAATAGCCAAAAACTTTTCAAAGACATTGAGAAATTACTATGCAATAGCAATAAGTTTCTTGGCCCTGCACAAGATACAAGATAAAAATGATTCTTGACACAAAACTATCGCAAAAAAAATCACAGAGAAGTTTCTACAGTCAGAGCAGAAATTAATTTAGTTAATTTTTAGGGTATAGTCTTGGAATAGTGGAAGATGCCTGAGTGTATCAAGCATAACTGGATACGCTTTTTTAGTGAGGAGATGCTCCCAGTTCAAGAGTAATAGGCAGGCATAATACTACATTTATGTGGTATTCTTCCTACTTTTTACTGAGGAAAAATTGTTTGTATCCAATGCATTCTGGAAATTTGTCAGAAGTCCTTCATTAAAGGTTATTCCACTCAATGTTCCATACTCAGACTGTATCTGGAATGTAATCATTTTTCTACTCCCTGGAGACTTTCTGCTGAACTAATAAACTGGCGTATAATCAGTCTAGGTAGAACACTAAAAAAGAAAAGGTGTAAAGTGACATTATGAGGTTATGCAGGTCTGTTGATCTTTCTTAGAATATTGTTTTAACTTGAGATTGTAGTATTTGTAGAAAAAAAATCTACGAATTAAAATAATCAACAGACCTAAAGGTGTGCAATTTAGAGAAATAAATAAGAAGATTAAGAGGATTTAATGACTTCTAAACCTTGAGAGAAAAAGTTGAATTTAAAAATTAGTCAAGTTGATAAGAACTCAAATCAACTCTGAATGATGTTGAATAGAAGAATATACCTTAGATCTCTTGCAGCTTGTTATATGCAGTAAACTGTTAGTGTGTGAAAGATTCTTAAGATGACATTGATTTTAAGGTCACAGTGATAAAGAAGTAGGTAAAATAACTTCTAAAATATTATTTCAAGGAGATGAGGGAGAAATCTTGGGGAACCGGAAAGCCAGTACTAGATGGGATGTTCTAAATCTTAGGAACTCTACAAGCCAAATAATGTTGACTGATTTTTTTTTTTTAATCTATTTTGTTTCATAGGGATGCGGTAAAAAAATGTACACTTTTTTGAGGGGGACGAAGCAATTGCAAGTGCTGCGATTTCTGGGAATCTCTATTGGAGTAACACAGATTCTGGCTATGATCCTCACTATTACTTTGCTGTGGGCTCTCTACTATGACAGAAGGGATCCTGGGGCAGACCAAATCATTTCCCTGAAGAGTGACACCACACAACACCTGTCATGTCATTCAGTGGAGCTGCTGAAACCAAGCCTAACACGGATCTTTGAGCATACATCCACAGCAAACAGCTTTAATACACACTTTGAAATGGAAGAGTTGTAGGTGATGCAATGGATCGAAGAAGTTGCAAAGGGTTTTAGTCTTTTTTTTTCTTTTTGGTGGTGTTTTTATTCTGTTCCATCAAGTACACTGAGTATACCAGTCTTTCTGTGCTTCAGAAAACTGCTAATGGATTGTAGCGAAGACACCTGCCCAGGAAGAAAGATGAGGCAAAGCCTTTTAGGACAGCCATGAAACAGTGTTTTTTTTTGTTTTTTTTTTTTTTTTTGCATTTTAGCAGGCATTCGTTCACTGGGCACAGTAGTATTTAACTTATTGTCACAAGATATGTGATGTGTAAAGTGCTGATTCATTCACAGATAGATCGACAGAACTAATGACGTACTTCTAAGGAAGCATCACTGAAAAGGAAGAGAGATACTTGTCTTCCAAAGAAATGACTGTGGTTTGAACAAACAAAATATGACTTCAGCTGAAATTGACTTTTACATTTTTTACTAAGCCATTTGGAAAATGTCTTAAAATAATCAGGGATCTACATGTATATAACTGTGTGTTTTGTGCGTGCATGGATAGCAGAACTGCAATTCAAGTAAATACTTGGATTTAAAATTTTGCAAGATTTGTTTTTAAAAGAAGGCAAAATTCTTTTTCTAACAAAATCTTTATCTTAGTTATTGCTGTTAAAGATATTCTAAAACTTCTATTTTTATCTAACATAACTGTTTAATTTTTAAGTTTAAATTTATTAAACAGAGATTAAAAACAAAACTGACTCTGGACAATAGACTAATTTTCTGAGTAATTCTAGAAAATTCTTCTCTGAAACAGTTTTTTCTGTTACAATAAAAAAAAAAAAAGCATTATTTTCAAACTGGGGATCAGTATGGGGAGTAGCACAGTTTTGTAGATATATCCCTTTTTCTATCCATGTTTCCCCTCAAAATAAAAACAAAAGACTGCAAGAAAAATGCTTATTGTTCTGGATGCTATTGCAATATTTGTAAAAGTACAGAAGGAGAAATTATACTTTGGCTTGTTCTTCATTAAGAGCTCTTTAGTGGCTTAAAATGCCACATGGAAGCAACGTTAAAATGTATTTATTGAGGCGGGAAAGTGCATTTTACTGTATTTTTATGAACAATGTTTATTTCATAGGATTATTTTTACGATTGGCCACGCTCCTGAAATATGTATTTGCTCCACTGAGTACGGTAGTTTGTGGCAGATGGATTTTTACATAATATTGCATTTTAAAATCTCTTTCCACTTGTTTCGGAATTTGTAAAAGGAAAAAGCAGCAAGGTGTGATTTGGTAGACAATAAAATTACTATTGTCTTAAATTCCATAATGGCTTTTTTATTGTAAAGACCTAGAATGTGAATGCTGTGGGTGGGAGTGGAAAGGTCCTCCTCCTAGTGTGAGTTAATTTGACATGTTTTTACCTAGTCCACTTATTCTGTCATGGAGAAACGAACTGTAAATTTCAGTTTCTTTTCTGTTACTTCTAAGAAAGTTGCCAAGGGATCATGAAATTAGGGTGACAGCTCTTCTGTTGTGTGGACTTTTGTTTGTTTCTTTTAGCAATCTGCATGTGGGTGTATTTATTTCACAGGTACCACTGCAAGCAAGATTACCCTTCTGTGTTTGTACCTACAAAAGAAAAAAAAATCTCAATTTTTTGTCTGGAATTTCCTTGTCAAAAATATATTCTCAAGCACTGTTCAGAAAGTCCATTGCGCCTAGACTTACTTTACATGTACAGCAGACTTCTGTCCTGTCCTTAGCCTGGGGCAGCATTTCTGCAGCTATGGACAATGGTCCTATGTAGAAAAAGAGGATGATCTATCTAGAAAAGCCTGGATGCAACCCACCTTTAGACTTTGGAGTGCTACTGTGACCTGTGATGCTACACAGTGGATTGAGCCACCACTTCTTACTTTCTTATTGTGGGTTGCCTTTTGTTGTTGTTGTTGTCATTACAAGTCAGTGTCATGGCTGATGAGATTTCTCTATAAAATTCAGCCTTAACACCATGACTAACAGGAGTCATTCACACCCCTAAGCCTGTTTTGGGGAATTTCTTGCTAAACATGGGTATTTTATGAATTTCTAATCCTAGCAATTGAAACCCTCCCATTACTAAACTTAGTCTAGGCAATGTAACCCTACTAGACCCTGTGATAGTTCTAAATTTCAGCCCTCTCTAAATAAAATTCTACAGCCAGACCTGGGCTGCTGTTATATTGCTAGTTCAGGAAACTGTAATTGTGCTTACCTACTTGTGAGTCAGAGAGGCTTGAGTAATATTTCAGGGAGCTCTGTTGGTTGAAAGTCTAGCCCTTAGTGTCTTTGGGTGTAAGTAATCTTAACTTCAACCCAAACATTCCTACTGTATGCAGATACTACTGTAATGCAGATCTCTAATGTAATTACAACTGAACCTGGGGAATCTCACCCTAAGTCAAGTGAAAATGTTACTAGAAGAGATCCTGCTCTTTGCTCAGGAAATACTGCAAATTAAAGTTCTACCCAAGGAGCGTGTACCTTAGCAATGCTTCAGCTGTCCTTATCTTGAGGTTAGGTTGTATCCTCCCATGGGAGGACTTTCCAAGCTAATAAGGGTTACCTGTGTATCTTTCCATATTAAGGGTAGGGCTTGTGAAGAGACATACATGGCAAGCAGGCTTGGTTAGGGAGAATCACTGGAGAAGTCCACAGCTAGAATTAGAGGTACTGACAAGCAAGATCACTTAATTTTAGGCTTCCCAGATGCTTTGCAAACACAGCCATTAGGTGTAGGTAGACTATTCTAAGGACAGGAATTCAGCTACCTGAGAAGGGCGAGTGGTGTATGCTTGCTGGGACAGGCTTAGAGGTAAAGGCTTCCCCACTTTATAGGGAAAGGTATGTATGGTGGAGTCCCTTGTAGGGTCTCCTTAAATCTGGATTAGGGTTCCTAAGCTAGGTTTCTGAGAGCTCAGTATTGCTGCTCTGTCTAAATTTTGTATTATGTGCATGTGTGTGTATATATGTATGTGTATACATATATATGTTTAGCGTTGGGCATTGAGTTGTAGTGATCCTCTTCCTAGAGCTTGAGGAGGGGGTATTTATGCTCTCCAGAAAAATGTTAGTCTACCAGAAGAGGTTAGAAGTGCACAAAGGGAAATCTTTGACTGAGGTTTTTCAGTAGAAGTCATGTGTAGGGTGGAGGTTGGTGTGCCATCCTAGCTTGAATAGAGGGTTACTCCTGGAGGTGGGGAGCATATTTGTATGGCCCTTGTGGGAGGTGCCAGATTAGTTGAAATAAAATTCCTTGGTTAGAATACAAGCAGCATTTTGCAGGGCACCCTGGAAGAACAAGTTCAAGGATAGGTAAGAGTCCGTACATATCTCTGGGATCTATTCAGTTTTTCAGTAAAGAAACTCATTGCCTCTTGGTCTATTCAAATGATAAAGAGGGTTCGTCAGATCATGGCTAAATCAGGAGATTCTAGGTCCAGGAGATGATGAATCCCTCCCACACCATGCACAGAGAGAGAAGGGGTTTCAGGCAGTGCTTCTCAAAAAATGATTTGGTCAGGGTTCCCTCATTCTAGGATCATTTTGGTGCATTTAGTATAGGACAGGCTTCACAGACCAATGTTTGTGGACCCCACGATAGAACCTCTGCACTCAAGGTAACCTTACCTGATCTTGAGCCAGTCTGTATTCACAATGGTGTTGGCTTAATTCAGGTAAAGAACCACTCATCAGGAATGCTGAAGGTAATTCCTTTCCTGGTAAAGTTTACTGGTAAGTATTCTGGGAAAGAAGTGAAGGAAGGCTGAGGGTTTTGGTGTCTCTGTCTCCTGTTTTGAGTATCTAACCCCATTTGTCCATCTAAGTTTCAGCTGTAAATTGGAACACCTTCAAACTTTTTTTTATTTTGCTGAGCTCAGGCTCAGGAAACGTGTTCCTATTTTTCTAGGGCTTGTTCAAAGAGTCTTCAGTTGATTGACTAGGCTGCAGTAAGTATATTCTTTTCCTGTAGGGCTTTAGGATGTAAGTAGGAGAGTGTCTGCTTGGCAAGGGGAGCATTTAGAGATACTTGCAGCAGTGAAAGCTGCTTCATCCTTTTATTTCTTTTTTCTGTAAGTCTCACAGGAGTACCCAGGAGGAGAACGATGGTGTATTCTTTCTTCTGTGCAGCATAAACTTTGCTGTAATGAGCCACATCTTTCTTGTTGTGACAAGCAGCTATGGAGCTGCTTTTTAATGCTTTTCACAGACCTTCGCTTAATGTAGAGGACAGGATCTGTATTAGATAATGGGTCAACTCCTGCTCTAAATCTGGCATTCCCATTCAGCCCAGTAAATCAGCACTGAATCAATGAAACTGTACCCGTAACAGTGGATTATTAAGTTTGCCATCAAGCAGTAATGATTCGGGAGTATAAGGATACTTTTAGGAGACAATCTTTACTATTTTTGGTCTTTGGACAAGGTATCGCTTCATCTGCCAACAAGACGTGTAACAAAAGTTTCTGGAGGAAGCATCCTTATGTTTTCTGTTCTCTATAACATAGTTCATTGTGTAAAAGCACCCCGTAAATCTAAGGGCATATATAAAGAATAAGTAATAAAAAGAGAGGTACATGGTCAGAGTGACTATACAGTTATATTATGATATAGGCAGGGATTTTCAAATAGTTTTTGAAGTTTTTACCACTAAAATATAATGTTTAATTCATGTGAATTGCTATATTGAAATGAGATTGTGTCTAAAACCTTAAAATTCACCTATGATTGAGTGAATTTCTTTAAAAATATTGGAATGGCGTAAACAGCTCAGAATTTTGCATGCGTCTATTTACTTTTTGTTCAGGGCTCTCCTACTTTCAGCATTTTCCTGTGCATAGGTACTGTAAAAATGAATACTTTCAAGTAAATAAATAATGAAGGCAGACAGTAAGAAACTAAACTGGCTAGGTACTTAGGTATATCTTACAGTCTTCATCAAGTCTAAGTATGTTGATGTTTTTCATTCCTGACAGCTCATTTACAGTGCCGATCTGTATGTTTACAAATCCAGTCTCATTTCCACTGAGTAATTATATTTGATTGTTATTGCGGAACACCTAAAAAACTTCAAATGTTTCCATAACCAATGGGAAAATAAAATCATGTTGGTTGCAGATGCAGGAGAGAGAGCATATGACCTCTTAAGCACTGTCCCTGCCCAAATCTCTGTGATCCTGTGATTTTAGCAATTTATTCTTCTCCAGACCAATTTCTGCTTTGAAATTCACCCTCTTCCACAGAACAGGTGCAATTTGGATTGTATTCTCCACTGTGAAAACATTCTTTCAAGAGTGAGTGTGTTTCTACAGTGATTGTGTCCAAAGCCTCAAAATTTAAGTGTATGCTTCTGGTTTGTATCCAGTAGCTAGAGGACAATTATTCTCTTTAAAAATGCTCTAGGATGGCTCACAGACAGATGTTACTTATATTAGAAGGTTTTTCCTTCACAGATCAGTCTAAAAGTAAGCTTCTGACAAAGGTAGCCATCATGCATGCCGGTATCAGCATGATCTGCATTGTTAGCTTCCTTTGTAAGGGATGCAGTGTGTTATCTGCTATTATGGTACAAAAGGAGTTTGATCTCATCTATGTTATTGGGGGAATTTGATATCATATTTAAGGTGGTAGTGTGGCCTGGAAGATTCAGCAGAGGAGTCTGTGTCTGGATGTCTTTAGCACATAGTGGATACCTTTGAAAAAATGCAGATAAAGAGGTAGGGTTCACTTTGCTGGAAATAATTTAGGGCCCCCAATGTTCTCTGCTGATGCAGGCTGGGATAAGAAATGACAAAAGATTCCTTGTGGTAGCTCTGTTAGTGAAGGGCAGCCTGTGAAGGGAAGTGTGCTAGCCACACACAGGGAAAGGACTGCTGTGTGTTCCAGAGCTGCAGCATGCTGGTCCCATTGGCTCTGTTATGGTTTAGATGTGCTCACAGATTGCCTGGAGTTAGCATCAGGGACATTTGTTGCTCTCAGATTTAGTGTTCCTTGAATCTTATTAGGAAAAAAGTTCCATGAATAAGTTATTGCAAAACCAGGTTGACCCATTCAAGCATGCAGATGTTTTATTTAAATATTCCTCAAATGTCTATTTATTCAGCATAACACATGTGTTATGCTGCCTTCTGAAATACGATATATGACCGTCAAACAAAATTGTCAAAAACAACAACCCTTGTTTCTTTGTATGATACACAGAAATAATTACATTTCATGTACAGTACAGATGCATTTTACACAGTCATCAACAGTCATTCACTACCAAAACAGCATTTAAATCACCTAAAACACCAAAAGAATGTGTATTTCCCAAATTCAGAGTAAATTAATGATTTTGCCTGTGACATGGAAATAGGAGACAGGACTGGCATTCTGCAAAATCATATTAAATTATTCTTTAAGCTGTATTTTAACAGTGAAGTACAAGCTGGTTCAGGGGTATAACTGTTCTGCAAGTGTATTGCTGTAATGCAGGTTTTTTAGTCCCTGTGAAAAAGAATAGAGAGGCCAGATTTCTTGAGATGCATGACCTGATGGAGTCGGGAGGCTTCCTGGGCTGTATGCAGTCAGTCCCAAATGGATTTTAGTAACAACCTTTTTGCATTATTTTCCTGATGTAACTACAAAAGTACCATGTGACATGAAGACGTTGTTACAGATTGTTAATATCAAGGCAGTTTTTATATCAACAATTTCTTAGGCAGAGGGTGGAGATCAAGCTATATCTTTTTTTCTGTGTACTTATGGGTAGAGGTAGGATGCAAGTAAAAGTTTTCAAGCCCCCTCTGCCTTTTTTTTTACACGGCAGTAAAACTTATGTAACCCACCAGCTTCAGCAGATTTAGTGCAATTTTATAACTTAGGTAAAACAGAGGAGAAACATAATTAACTTCAGCAGAGTTACTCAAAATGAACATCTTGTTTATCAGAGGACAATTTGTGCTTCTACTGTCTTATCAAGTTTTGAAAGAAATTTAGAAGGTCAGTTTTCAATGAGGAAATTATTCTAATTTTCACAAAAAAGTGGGAAGTTAATTGCAAATTAACCAAGTTTCCAAATAAGTAAACAATAAAAGAGTAATGCCTTACATTATTTACTATTTTTAATTGCAGTTTAATTCTCATATGTGACAGTATTTTGGTGAATACACTGTGGCATATACCATCATCTACTCTTCAATATGTGACAGGTAGGGAGAAATGTCAGTATTTGTGTGCAGTAAAAAGTATATAATCAGCAAGTTTCAGTTTTAAGTGAGTGTTTTCTTTTACTGTAAATTTTAAGGTCAGTTGAATGATAAATACTGTACTGAAACATATGCTACTCAGGTTATTATGTCAATCAGTTATCATAATGGCCTCTAATGCACTGAACCTTTTGATTTGTATGCGTATTTTCATTTGTAGACACGCAATTATTTCTGATCCAGTGTTTTTGATGTATATATGTATGTATTGATATGCATATATTTCATGTATATCTGATGTATATGATATATGGTATTCCATGTATATAGGAAGCATTACAATATATCTCTTTTACTGTACTCTCATACAGAAAGATGACATTTTTTATCAGAAAGGTTTCTGCTAGCATCAATGTCTTAAAAATGAAACTAAAAAACCTTAACAGGTGGAGCCTTTATACTGGCTTTTAGGCTTGTTCTTATAGGCAAATTCCAACTTAACTCAGTTATACTTTTGTAGCTTTGCGACCCAAACCATTATTCTATCGGTGTTGTTAGGTGGGAAAGTACCTTAACAAAATATAAATCCTCAAGTTTTAGGATGTGAGTTTACAGCTACTTACAAAAAGAATTTAGCAATCATTTTCACTGAATGTTTTTCAGTGTCTTCCAACATAGCCAATACTCTGGATACTGAAAAATGTTAGCAGTGGAAGTTTGGAGATAAGTGCTGGTTAATCACAAAAAAACCCCTTTGTTTTAATTTGATTTCAAATGGGATTGATACTGTAACTGCGCAAGGACAAGAGATTTTTTCTGAAAGTACAAAAGTAGGCAAGATGTTTACAGAACAGAGGACTGTGCCAATTCATCAGTAGCCTTGAAATCCCAAATAGTACAGTAATGTTAGAATGGACAATGTACTGAGAAATAGAGGACAGTGAACAAAAAGAACAGTGACTGAATAGCACATTTGTGGTGCACAGTTTGGCTATAAGATTATTTAAATGTTTGCCGTTAGAAGTTTATAGTGCAGATGAAGTTGTGTAAAATATCTATTAAAAAAAAATCCTGATTCCTGATACAACAGGTGTACAATGACTTATTGCAGTTGTAACAGTTCCTAGGAAGCAAGATAAAACAATAATAAATATTGAACTAACTGAACACCTTTAGTTCACTAATGAGTATTTGAATAAGAAATACTGCATTTTTCGAAGGGAAGTTATTTGTACAACTACCATGGAACATTAACAATCAGCATGTTGTAAGTGCACAGAAATGCCCCTTTCTACAGTAATATTTTATCATGCCTAATCTGAAAAACAACATAAATAAACTGAGATCACAGCTCCAAATAATTTCAGCATGCATTATGGTTGTATTTCTTTCAGTCAGTACAAACTTATTTCATATGAGCATTTTTTCTTTCATTTTTCCATAGTTTCTCAACAAGTGTGTGGTTTATTAACAGCAAAAAAAAGACATATTATCAAAATGTTTCTTGTTTTGCATTCAGCA